AGATCAAGTTTGTATTTCGTTCCACGTCATTGATTTTTGATGGAATTATGGCATTTTCAATTTTTAACGGGAACCAGATTACACTTGCCGGTAGGGGACTAGTATTGCTAATGCAATACTCTCAGAATGCTTGTTATTATAGGTATTATGTATTTTTTATATTTACTGAAAATTTCGGTAAAATTGATAGGTATGCAAACTCCTGTGATTTTTTCATGATGATGCAAATTTTGTATTATTTTCTCGATTCTTAATAATTTAGTAGACTAGCCCATCATATGCCCAGTTAGTATAATTTAGAGAACGAGACGGGTTCTGTATCGTAGATACAAATTTGGTGGTGGACGAGTGCGTAGTACGAGTCTCCACCCCCCAATTTTGTATCTACGATACAGAACCTGTCGAGTTCTCTAAATGATTTGTGACACGACCAACAAAAAGCAAGCATTCTGAGAGTATTGCAATAGCAATACTAGTCCCCTACCGGCCAGTGTATTCTGGTTCCCGTTAAAAATTGAAAATTCATAATTCCTCAAAAATCAATAAAGCGGAACGAAATGCAAACTTGATCTACAACTCATCAAGGTAAAGTCACATACTAAAAATCAGCTCAACATCTGCAAGCGTTTAGAAAAAAATTGCGGAAAACCCTTAAAAATTGAAAAGATCGTAATTCCGTCAAAAATCATTGAAGCGGAACGAAATGCAAACTTGATCTGTAACTCATCAAGATACACAAACATACCAAAAATCAGCTCCATATCTGCAAGCGTTCAGAAAAAAAGTGCGGAAAACCAAGTGGGACAGATTGACAGATAGAGAGAGGGACAAACGGAATGACAGACAGACAGACAGACGGACGGACAGACTCAGAGGAAACTTATAGTCCCCTCCGGTTTCACCGGTAGGGGACTAAAAAGCACCGCCCATTTTATAGCTGTGCAGAATCCAAACTTCCGCCAGAGTTCGTTTGTTCTCTCTTAGATGAGGCCTCAACGGGGAGTAGACATCCGCAGTATATATATTTCCACGGAAAACATAAGATTTAGTCAGATTAGTTTTGACAACGGGGTAGACGTGACAGACTTGAAGTCAGTCTTAATTGATAAGAAGGACGATTTAACCTTGTTGTAGATGGAGATTGATCCTAATTTATTTCTGGGGTCTTAAAATCTCAGTTTAACTAGATACACATACAGGCGATACAGACAGCTTTTCGATGGACTCTGATGTTACGGATTTTTATTTTCTTATTGAAATGCGACATTAAAACGAAGTGAAAGAGATTTGCGGCAGTCGTCAGCGATAAGGATTTAAGATGAAATTTAAAAAAAAACAACAACTGAAAAATGGACTTGAGTTTGCATGAGAAGAGTCACTGTGGAAAATGGGGGGAGTGGGAGTGCGAATTTCACCTAATGTATGCTGCATCCGTGAACCCATTGGCTTTACTATTTTGAAGGGGACAAAAAAGCAGGGAAAGCAAACAGGTTTTCAGGAATTTATACATAATAGGATGTTTTCCATAAGTGCGAATTTTCCTTTTCGTTTGGATCGAAATAACGTGTAGATTCTGTGTGGAATAATTTTTTTGAAAGTGATTGCGAAATTCTGACATTTTACATTCCTAAGGAAATATTTCTGCAAAATTTATAATAGGAAAAAAATCAGCATTTACTATTTGTACGTGCTTTTGATAAATTGAATCAGATTTATTTTTAGACCGTGCTGTATTTTAGATACAGAACGGGTTCGTTTCTCAAAAAGTCGTAGATTTTGGCCTAAGTTAGTTCGACTAAGGAAGTTACGCCAAAATTTAGACGGGCCTAAATCGCGTTTCAGAAAGCGGCCTAAGACTGGGCCTAAGACTAAGACCTCTCCGCTAAGTACTAAGCATGCGCACATCGTATTTTATTTGGTTTAGAAACTACAATTACATGTGGCGGATCAAATATCAAACTTAAACCTACATACAAAAGTAAAGCACGGAAAGCATGAGCGCGCGTGCATGTTTTCTCTCTTCACCATCTTTCAAACAGATATATTACACAAACCCACCTGTATTTTCAAGGTCGAAGCATTAAAATTAAATAACTATTTTTGTATGCTCAAAAAAAAAAATCGATATAGGTACAAATTACATTAGAAAAACATAAACGTGTACACGATTGTGTTATTTCGATATACAATCTTACATTAAAACTCAAACGAAGTACATAGTATAAGTACTAACGAAAAATTCGAATAAATTAAGCATGCTGAATTTTAAGTAATTTTCCTTTGATTATAAGCCATATTGTCTTTCACTTATGTTAAATGTTTTAAATCAAATACACATAAGGTAGTGGCAAAGGGCTGGAACAGGCTCGTAGCAACAGTTTAAAAGTTGGAGGGGGCAACTTCTCCAAAAAAAAAATCTGACAAACCAAAAAAGAAAAAAAAAAACAACCCCTAAACAACCAAAAAGTGTGTGTGTGTGTGGGGGGGGGGGGGGTTTATCCCAAATTAATGTGACAAAAAAACTTCATTAACTGTCCAAGTCAAAAAATTAATTATTATAACTCCATGACTGAAGTCATGAGGGCTAATACAGAACGGAAAGTAGCTCCACCCACTGTATTCCCGTTCCGTATTGCTAATACAGAATAGCAAACTTCAAAGAAAAACACCGCTATCGTGTCACAATTACATTTACAAGAACATTTATTTCTTTTTTTAGACCTTTAATTTTGGAGTTTAATCAGATGGTATATTGTAAGTAGTTAATATTTTATAATAAGTAGATTTAAGATGCATGTTTTCTACAAGGTACCTAAAAATTAATGTAATTTTTCATTTAAGTTAATGTATGTGTGACCGTATTGTGTACAATGTATGTAGAACAACAATACGTATGTTTATGTTTCGGTTTTTTTTGCGCATGTGCAATGCAGCGTTGTCAAGGACGTAGTCCTGAGACTAATAAGCGTATTGTTTACGACTAGTCTTAGGCTACTAATTTTGGCCTAAGCCCGGGAAGTACACCTAAGTTTGGTCTTAAATTTACGACTTTTGATGAAACGGGCACCGAGTCGCAATGTAATCGTTATTTCTTGAATAAGTCTTAACTCACTTCACCGTTAGTCCTGATCTTAATTATGAATATTGTAAGTTCACGTTTTGATAAGCAGAAATACCACTTACAGTGTATCCATAACAATTATTTTTAAGCAGAGTTATCAGTTACATGTACCTATTAAAAACCGCATGTTTTGTTATCACAATTTTGAAGAGTTGACCATGCTTGCCCTTCATTTACACATTTCAACTCGTTGGATAAAGCAAATATAAAAACGCACAATATAGAAAAAAGGCCCATGGGCCACAACGCTCACTTGAGCCACTATGGCCTGCTGTTCTGTTTGTTTGTTTGTTTGTTTGTATGTTGTTTAACGTCCCTCTCGAGAATTTTTCACTCATATGGAGACGCCACCACTTGCCGGTGGAGAGCTGCAATTTTTTTCCTATACTCGGCACTTACGGCCATTGAGCAGTGAGGGATCTTTTTCGTGCCTACTGCGACACGGGACCTCGGTTTATACGGTCTCAACCGAAGGACCGGTCTCCACGTCCTACAGTGGAATTCGAACCCGCGACGTAAGGATCAACTCCTTACTCCGCGACTCTAGAACAAACGCTCTAACCACTGCGCCACGCGGGCGACGCCTGCTGTTCTGATTTTTCCCTATGTAAATCTTTGATCGTCCATTGTGGCCCCATCCTACCAACGCGGGTCATGATTTAAATAAAATTGAATCTACACTACCTGAGGATGCTTTCATATCACTATAACTAATCCTGGCTTTGCTGTCATTGAGAAGATTTTGAAAGATTTTTTCTACATGTATTTATTCCTATGAAAAACTTTTATCGTCCATAGTGGCCACACCCTACTCCTTGGGGTCATGGTTAGAACAAATTAAAATCTACACTACCTGAGGACGCTTCATTATCAATACATGTATAACTAATCATGGCTTTGCTGTTATTGAGAAGATTTTGAAAGATTTTTCCTATATATTCCTATGTAAAATTTTGATCACCTGTTGTGACCCTACCCTAAACCCGGGGTCGTAATTTGAACAAAGTTGAATCTACACTATATGTAGTGAAGCTTTCACCTAAGTTTCAACTCTTCCGGTCCAGTAGTTCTTGAAAAGAAAGTTTTGAGAGATTTTTACTTAAATATTCCTATGTAAAACTTACCTATTATGGCCCCATCTACCCCCCGTGTCATATTATGAACAAATTTAAATCAACACTGTAATAAAGCTTTCACGTAAGTTTCCATTTTTCTGGCTCAGTGGTTCTTGAGAAAAAGATTTTTAAAAGATGTTACAAAATTGTCTCTAATTCTTAATTATCTCCCCTTGAAAGAGGACATGGCCCTTCAATTAAACAAACTTGAATCCCCTTTATCCAAGGATGTTTTGTAGCAAATTTTGTTGAAATTGGCTGGAGTAGAAGTCAAAATATTAAAGGGTGACAGATGGACGGACAGACAGGCAGACGATGGACAAAATGTGGTGAGAAAAACTTATTTGAGCTTTCAGCTCAGGTGAGCTGAAAAGTAAAAGATTTTACCAACAATGCTTAATTTACCTGTTTTTGCCCAATTGGCAAAAATTGGAATGAAAAAATCAGAGTATTGCATGTGGGTATCATCAGCTAAAGGGATGAGTTGCACAGCTTTATTTATAAACTTTTTTAAATCTTTACATCTGGAATCTAGCAGAAACGTACACGAAGTGATAACATGCGCAAAAAGTTGAGCTGCAGGGAATGTTAGTAGTGTGATTCAAAGTGTGATTGAAATATAAAAAGAACATAATTCTCGTCTTCAATCTTTCAAAGTTAGTAAATTTTCATTACAAAAATGATTTTACAAACATACAAGTATTGGTGTTTAAATCTTATTTTAATCAAGAGTTATTTAAAATGCAATGTCTATTTTTTTGCAGGTGGCGAAGTACTTTGATGATAAAATTTCAATAAATAGAACTTTACTGAAGGATTACGACCAAGGAGGGTTAGAAAGAAGCTACCACAAAGCTCAGTGTAAGCAAGGCGACATTTGTACTGCCTGTCTCTCAATGAATGAACATTTATACTATAAACCCGGAGACCTGATTATTGTTGCTGCATTCCCCATCCATAACGTTGGCACAGGACCTTTACGATGTGGAGGACTGCGAAGTAATACAGGTCTTGACGTGGCTTTGGCTGTAGAGCACGCTGTGGAAATGATTAATAACGACTCAACGATTTTTAGTGGCACTCCAATCGGATTCATAATTTTAGATACTTGTAACGATCCTCTAATCATTCAGCAACGTATACTACATCTATTTAAGAAGGACGGATATCCCAGACTACCGCCTGATATCGCCGACAGGATTCTTGGTTACGTTGGATCGTTAGGAAGTACACCGACTATAGCAATGGTCTCTGTCACAAAAAAACTTGAAGGAAAGCCCCAGGTAATAAAATATATAAATATTTATTTTATTAATTTTCTTAATTAAGCATTTCCTATATTCATAAAGAATCAATTTATAGGCATTTGTTATCAAAGTTTATAGTAACGTATTTTTTCTTGGTTAATCTTTTATCATTTATGAGATAATTCCCATTAAGTTTTGGCATTGATAGTTGCCCAAGTTCTACATACTGTGTAATCAATAATTTTCGTTGGGGGTTAATTTTCGTTGTTTTCATTGTATGAAAAGACCAAAGTTCATGTACTCCACGAAATAATAAGATTTCTAATCAGTAATATTTAACAACTCAACACTTCTTCTGCCACGAAATGAAATCCCCACGAACCAATAATTTTTCGTAAAACCAGGAAAATTTGACCGTACGAAAATTAGTGATTTTACAGAATAAGAGCAAAATTTATACATTGCATTTATATTTTAATTCTTAATCGCACGAATTTCATACTTTTTCTTAGTCTCATTTTCATTGCTAAAAGGTTGGATGTTGTTCAACGTCTCAATTACTTTCCAACAAAGAACACTATCCAAATTTTGTACGAGTTTCAACGCCACTGGATCGGACAGCAGATACAATGGTTCAAATAGCCAAAAAACTAAATGCAAGGTACATTCAAATAATATATAGTTCTGGGTCATATGGTGAAGGTGGAAGAAATGCCATAATATCCAGTGCGAGAAAATATGGTGTCTGTGTAGCAAATTCGATTGAAGTCCCTGAAAAATCTAACTACAACACTGTTCTAGACAAGCTTAGAGTTAAACCCTCAGCCAAAGTGGTTTTGACTTTTCTCCGATCTCACGTTGGGCCTCATGTCATGCAGGTTACAGCAAACAGGATGCAAGAAGACGGTGAGTTTTATTTCATAGCATCAGAAACTCTTGGAACACGCACACAGTATCTTATTCCAAGACTGAGAGGGACTGTGTCCGTTGCGCAAGTGATGCCACAAGGTACCTCCTATTTGCAGTATTTGAGAACTAAGTCGCCAAAACCAACGGACGATAATTCCTGGCTTCTTGATATTATTCAAAGTCGCCAAAGATGCTACTTTCCGTGGAGCTTTAATAAATCTGATGCTTTAACCCGACAATGTGGTTCAAGTGACCATATTTTTAATAATGCCAGTCTTCTTGTCGACCCATGGGCACCGTACCTTTTAAATGCTGCTTTAGCCTTATTGAAAGGTTCAGCCAGTGCACTGCGTGAAATATGCCAAACAACGAAAACAATTTGTTCTGGATATTCTAATACAAACAAAGTTTTGCAACACATTAAAGAAGTCAAGCTTGATCTCAACCAAAATGGTTCATCAGTCCCGGTTTTTGATGAAGACGGAAATGGGATATATGGTCATACGATATATACCATCGTATCAGAAAAAGGAAAATTGATTTTCAAAACAGTAAGATATGGTCGAACCTCAGATAATGCTTTCATATTTTACCGTTATTATTCTTTTTTTCAAAACGAATGGTTTATTTTGTAACATAAAATTTTCATTAGATAGGACATTGGTCACAATCAGCCGGTTTAACTTTTGGTCAAGAGGATGAAATTTTCCCGGGTTATCCTGGTCAGACGAAGTGTCCAAATCCCCAGGACTGTAAAGTCTGCAACAGTTTTCTGCGGACAGAAGGAAGTGACAGCGATGTTGGTGCAACGAAGTCGTCTGACCAGTAAGTTGACTATGTTTTACATGTATAAATCTAAGTAATGAATGAAATATTTTACATACGTACTTAATTTTCCGATGTAATTGATTTTATCTTCACTAAATTACAAAATATTGATAAAGTACATGTATCTTCTTTTTATTTCAATTTTTGTGACAAAATGGCATTGAAGCTTTCAGACCGAGGTGATTTCTATTAGATACAGAAAATGCGTGGACGTGTTTTATTTTAGAGTAAATAAGGTACGAGTATCCCTCCATGAAAGCTGCAACATGTTGCAAACGAGCAATGCTATCGTAGTAGGACATTGCTTCATGTAAAATCAATAATCAATTTTGATAACTTAATTTCTTTGACTAATTGAGGGAAAACATGTTTGCCAAAGACTCACCTTTTATCAGTTTTCAATTTCCATAAAATAGTGCTTGAATACAGAGTTTTTCGTAACAAATGAACACAAGAAACAGTTTTCAAAACTGGGCCAAAAAACCTAATTTTCTGCAAAATCTTTACAACCATTCAAAAGTATGTCCAGTCTGCTGGTAAATGGTGTGTAAAACTGTAAACAGATTTTGTGTTATATTTAATAGAACTTTTAATTTATAATAAAATTCTTTTATTCCTTCTATTATTTGAAAACTTCTTTTTTCATATTTTTTTTTTAAATTATGATTCATATTCCTGAACTTTTGATTTGTATGCAAAATCTTGAGATTTACATGCATAAAGTTTATATTCATATTAAAAAAATTGCTATTTATATGTACAAACTTGCTCATGTTCCACAATCTTGCGATTTATGTGCTATAATCCTGTTATTTTTATGCAAAAATTTAAAATTCATATCCGAAAACGCATTATTTATATGCATCAAGTTGTGGCTTATATGCGATAATCTTGTGATTTATATTCAAAAAGTTGACATTCATATTCGAAAACATTATTTATATACAAAAATGTTGATTCATATTCGAATATTTACATTTGCTGTGCTTTTCTACCAAGCCAACTGTGAAATTGATTTGAAAGCCATTTTTGTGTATACTCACGCGTAGAAATGTACACGGAGAAACTTGCGCATAAGTGACGTCACAATGAGGCTACAGAGACGTTAATATAAAAATATGACGATATAGGGCAGCGAGAAATTCAAACACTGAGTATATTTTTGGAGCATTTAAACTTGTAAAATGTAAATAAAATAAAGCTTAGTGTGAATTATTGGTGTGTAAATCACACAGACTTGCACGTAGGCATATTTTCCATGAAGCGCAAGTGCGCTTCATGAAATATGCCTACGTGACAAGTCTGTGTGATTTACACACCAAACACACAAAATTACACACACAAAACTTAAAAACATTCCTTAATAATCTTGTGATTCATATTCGAAAATCTTGTGATTTGTATTCATATTCGAAAATATTGCATTTATATTCATTTTCGAAAATATGATGTGATTTATGTGCAATAATGTTGTGATTTGTCTGAAAATGTATAATTATTCAATGTTTTACATGCCATACTGGTATTTGTTTTCTTTTTGTATATTTGCTATGTGTACGAAAACTGCAACAGAAAACTGTTTATTTTTTATTACGCGCCGGAAATTATCCTTCAATCACAATGTTATCAAATCCTGATTCTTTAAAATTGATTCTCAGACAATGCGTAAAAATCATATCTTTAATTCTATTTAAATTTTCATTTCTAATTCTATAGAATTATTTTTAAAATTGTCTTAATAATTGTTTTAAAATATACATTTGTACAAAAGTACATCTCCTTTGAAACAGAGGTCTTTTTAATTTTCATACCAAGTAATGGGACCTCTTCATGGTAAATTAATCAAAATACTGATTTCACTTAATTTTTTTTCTAAATCTAGGTCTACTACAGCATATATCCCTCTGATTGCGGCGGTAGCTGTCACAAGTTTTCTTGCTATTTTGTTCATCGCTCTCTTCTCCTACCAGTGTTATCAAAAACGTCAAGGTATCTGTACGGTTTCTTTTTGTAAATTCTAAAATGAACGTATAATTCAATTTATTACACTTCTGTAAAATTGTTTTTTTTAATATCAAGTTGAGGAAATAAAATAACATTTTAATAGTCTGAAAAATACTTTGGAGTATAAATGTGTTATTATACTTAGAACTGTAAAAATGTTTCCTATATAGAGTTTAAAAGGTATGAAATAACTTTTTTATACTTTAAAAATCTTCATTTATACCTAAGCTTATCCTGGAGAATAAACAAACATCCCTCAGAAAATTTTCATTCAGATTTTGAGGCAAATTTTGATTTCCTGTAATATAATTGGATGGGACTTCTCGAACTCTATCGAGTTCCACAAAGCTCTACCCTTTGATATAAAATGTACTAACCCCCCCCCCCTTCAGGAAATACATACATTGGTTTAAAAATCGCTTATCCACTGGCTATTTCCTCGGGCAAGCCCACGGGGAATAAAGAGCTATCTTACTCACAGTCAGTGGATAGGTATTTACTGTCCACCCCTCAGAAAATATTCATTCAAATTTTTACGCTAATTTTGATTTTCTGTAATATGATGGTTCGTTGATTTCCCCAACATTGACGAGTTACACAAAGCTATGCCCCGTGAATTAAATGTGCTATACCCCTCAAGAAATGAATACACCAGTATAAAAATCGCTTACATATGATATATTAAATATTAGCTGCTGAAAAGGAGAAACTTCATACGTACTGTGCTACAGCATAACTGAGAAGTGGTGTAAATCAAATGTGGATTCTCAAAAAATCTAAAGAACTTTTTTTTTTTAAATTTAAAGTCACAAAACTTTTTTAAAAGTCAGTAACATAACAGTATATGATTTTTGATACTTTGTACAACCATTTCTCACATTAAATCAAAATCTAGGCTTTTTTGATATCATAGGCAACTGCTTCTTCAATAAAGAGGAAACCAGGAAATTTTCATATCTTGTGATTGGTCATCATCAAAATTACTTTGTAAAAATTTACTCCCATCTACACATAAGTACTCTGAGGTTGATATTTAAAGGAAAGGATGCTGGAGTTCCTCATGGACAACATCTATGAATGTGTAGTCTTTGGAGACCAGGTCTTCCAACAATCTGTTGTAATTCCAATGAACACTAGTTGTGTTCTTTTATACCCGACCTGTTTTTGTATTCCTTTGAAGTAGAATTTATTCAAGAACTTCTACATGAAGAGAAGAAAAAAAATTCTATGGCCTTAAACTCGACATTCAGATATGTCGAAGATTTATCAATTAACAATAGTTACATGTACTTCCATTCATATGTAGACTCGATATATCCCAGAGAACTCGAAATAAAAGACACCACAGAGTTAGCAACATCTGTTTCATATTTTGATGTTTTACTGACGATAAGGGCCAACTAACAACTAAACTGTATGACAAAAGATGACATCAGCTTTTCCATCGTCAACTTCCTTATTTATTTAATAATCCTGCATATGGTGTCTCTCAACTTATTCGACACTCGAGAGCATACTCTGAATACGATGATTTTTTTTAAACCGAGGTAGGCTTCTGACAAGTTGACGTTACGGGGATTTCAAACATTTCGTAAATTATATAGTCATTATAATGACCTTGTTAGCAAATACATCCTATCTTTGGCTCGTATTTTAAGAGACATATTTTATACCAATTGTTAGGCCTTATTATAGTAAATTTGACTACGAACTATTCCGTCTACCTGATCAATATATGGGGCGAATGACGGTTGTGACAGGTCGACAGGGAATGCTTACTCCTCCTAGGCACTTGATCCCACCTTACGAATTGCATTGGGTCTGTGTTTTATGCCCAGTTGACAGATTTGTATAGTTTATAGGTTTTTTGAGATCGATTATTGTTCGTTAACTTCACCTATCTATTTGTAGGTTTTTAGCGATCGAATATTGTTCGTTAACATCACCTATTTCATTATCCACTGGCTATGAGTGGAAAACATCTTTCATCAAACCCTTGAACTATTCCTTTCAATCTTAAGGAAAAGTTCTGTCGCGGGCTTGCCAAAAGAGCAATCCCACACAAAGCCAGCGGATATGTGTATATAAAATATGTGACTGCTGTGAAAAATTTAAATAATTACTTAACAACAGTTAATTAAATTAGCTAGGTACTAATATCTGTATATGCTCAACTCTATATAAAGCTCTACGGATATCTAACCCATTTCTATTTTTTTCGGTAGGGACAAAGAAAACAGACGATTTTCACATTTTTTGTCAGCGATATCCATTGTGACCTACCAGAAAATATTATACATTTATTGACTGGGTTCGAGGGCAACATGCGTTTTGTCGTACCCAAGAACCAAACTGTTTCCTGAGGCCGTTAGGCCGAAGGCAAACATTTGGTTCGAGGGGTCGACAAAACGCATTTTGCCCGAGAACGCCGTCAATAAATGTTTTGTTATACCTTTTATTTACGTATTTATTTTATCATTATTATTTTTTTGACATACATATATGTCGAACACCAACGAATGCAAATGAGATTTACCTGACCCCGCTCATTATGTGACGTAAGCGGTCCAACATCTCATCGACATATCCAATATCTCACACCGCGGTCAACATCGTTTTTTTATGCCCGCTCAGTAAAACATCGATTTTTTTATGCCCGCTCAGTAAAACAGAAATTTTAGACTTTTTTAAGTATTGATTTACATAGGAACAAATTTTTAAAGGTATAACAATAGTAATTAAAACCTTCAAACTCTTTTGGACAATTTAATACCATTTCTATATTGGCATAGAATTGGGCAACATAGAAAACATAATGAACATATACATATAAATCTGATTTTCCAGACATTGGCCCATGAAATTGGCAATTTTATAGAGAGAAAACAGTTCCTTATGCCAGTTGACCCAAGATTCCCAAGAAAGGGAAATAACTCGTAAATGTGAAAGTCGTCTGTATTACTAAAGGAAGGAAAATAGTAATAGTTTTTTTTTTTGTCAATTTCAGAAGCAGATGATCCTTATATAATACCTAGTAGCATGGAGGGGATAGGGAATGAGTGCTATATGGAGGTTCGGGACACGCAAACGCCAATCTCAACTGATGAGTCCGACTGTGCTGGAAATAAATTTTACTAAACATGATTGCTTGTTTCAGCATATATCATCATCGTGCAAGGTTTTAAAGCGCAAAATAAATTCTTTATTGTGTCGTATTTTTTGATATCCTTCACTTATTTCATTTAATTTTAAAGGAAGAAGTTTTATTCTAATAAAATGTTTTGCACATTTTGCGTCATCTTTTTATGAGTTACCACTATTTCCACTATACAGTGTAAACGATTATTATCATTTGATTATATATATATATATATATATATATATATATATATATATATATATATATATATATATATATATATATATATCAGAAAGTTTTTAAAAAAACAATATGTATGAACACTGTTGCAAAAACATTTTTTATCTTATAAAGTTGAGATGTGTGTAAATTTTCGTTTGGCAATTTTGTATGTGATCGATATTATATTTGAAAATAATTTTTAAGTACAAAATAAATCAAATATGGTACATCTTTAAAAATTTTGTAATGGAAAGGAACAGCAGAGATAGCAATAACTATCTGTAAAGAACGATGCAATACTGATGATGTTGATTTCTAATTCTTCTGTTTGTTTTGAAATAAGAAACTGTGTAAATTTCGCGGTTCTTTACTTTGCCATGTTCACGATTCGTATTCTTCACTGGATTTATGAGATTGATCACTGTTCGTTTTCTTCACCTTTTATATTTAATATAAATATCTGACACTAAATTAGCATCAGGCTTGAATATAAGTGTAAACATCTGATCACAGTATAATGATCTTTTGCTTGGATGTCATAATTGGGATTGTTCCCGTTTTGCACATATTTGAATTTCAGATACTGAAAAAATGTGTGCAAAACGGGAATTTATCTAGGTAAGATAATTACTTAATTGCTATATTCTGTATCATAGTTAATATGAATTTGAAAAAAAAAGAATCTATGGAAAGAATATGAAGAGAGAATGATTAATTTTGCATTTGATATTTTGATTTATTTCTGAAATTTCATGGTAAGAAAAAAAACTATTTTAAAACATAGAAAAAATATCATAAATACTAATCAAACTATAATTGTATTCATTTGATACTAACTGGACAAGTTATTTTTTCATTATTAATTAAGATTGAAATCATTTACTTGTCCATTTTATCTTTATAAAATAATGAAAGGGTAAACTGCGATCATAATGATATTTGTCATAATTATCCACTTCATTATCAGGTGGGTTGACAAGTTAAATTTTCAAAATTTATTCTTTTTAAATATATATTATAATGCATTAGTAATTAAATACAGGTAATTCCAGGAAAATCCTAAACGGCGATCAGACTATAATTACTATCAAAACATATTTTACACCTATTGTACTATACCTAATTATCAAATGCGTGCAAAACGGGAACAAACCCTTAATTGAACCTCTGCTTAATTACCCCCTTGAATATAGTTAACGTATTTAACAACACCGTTTATAATGGATACGTCAAATTAAATTGTTTAATGGATACGTCAAATTAGATTGTTGATGTATATTGAATATTTCTTTTTTCAGCTTAGACTTTTGTAAAATAATACTTGATAGTATTTTTATGAGATTTTTTATGAGATTAAATTTGATAAGTTAATACAAGTCTGATTAATTTTCTGGGGTTTTTAAAAGCAGTTTTCTTTTTTTTTTTCTTTTTTCTTTTTTTTTTTTTTTTGAATTTGGATCCATAATTTACAACACCGTTTATAATGGATATGTCAATTTAAATTGTTGATATGTGTTGTATTTACTTTTTTCAGCTTCGATTTTGATATATTATACTTGATTATCATTATTTGTTTGAACAAATTTATTTGAGATTTAATTTGCTAAGTTATTACAAGTCTGATTAATTTTCTGGGGTTTTGAAAAGGAATTTTCTTTTTTTTGGAATTTGGATCCTTAAAAAATATACGAATAATTTAAGATTTTTGTTTAAAAAAAGAACAATATCTTGGAGGAAAATGATCGAGACATTTAAAAATATTCCTTATATAAATAGTGGAAAAAAATTAAATTTCTTTAAAAACAAGCTATAATTACTAACTAAAACATCACTGATTTTTGGTTATAAACATGAAAGATAAAATATCTATATACAAATCAATAACTCTACTTCTCTTGAATCACTGTTCACTATCTTTTATAAAAATTGAAACGATTAAATCTATTACCTAACACCAGTAACACTTGCATAAACAAAATATCTAGGTCTATTCATTTCGATATGCTTACTTGAGGCGAAGTTCATTCTTCAAAACCCCTGAATATGTTCATTTATGCACGACGACTTATTTTGAGAGTAAACTATGAAGTATAAAAGAGTGGAGCAGTGAACACTTTATCGGTTTTAAATATTTTCACTGCGACATCAACTAGGTAACCTGATTTCGGTGAAGATTCCCCTTTTTGTTCAAGAGGAGGAGGAAGGTCAGTCACAACTTCAGGGCAATTTTCCTGTCTTCGAGATCATAAGAGGCGTGAATGGACCTAAAGTGAGTGAAAAGTCTTGATAGATTTTCTTTGAAATCATGAAATTAACAGTTAAATAACTATTGATATTTTTTTAACAAACAGCATTTAAATGTAATAGACTCATTAATATTCCTAGTGATGGATGATGTTATTTTAAAATAATGGATAAAGTGAAATATACGCAATTTAAACATTAGAAGGATAGTGAATATTCTAGTAACCTGTGAAAGATTCCATTTTACATTCAGTAAGGAATTTCACTTCCTGGTACGAGTTTGGGGTTGCTTCTCATGTTTCTGAATGACAATTTCATTTCTTATTTAACGTTTTCAATAATTTAACAATTGTGGTTTCAGTAGTTTGACACTTTATACAAAGATTTTTTTTAAAAAATGTATTTAAACACAATACTTACCATAAAAAGTGTTATATTTTTTATTAATTAAGACTCTATTTCAGAGTTATACTATTGGTTATTGTGAACGTGATGTTGACTTCTGCCTTTATGACTCCGGTAACATCAGTTCCTGGCGACATCTACTTAGCAGGAATATTTACCATAAAATCCTCAACAACATCTGGAAATGAATGTAATGGTCAAGTGTCCACTACCTCAGTAATGGGACTAGAAGCCGTGAAATGGGCAATACGTCGACTAAACCAGCAAAATTACATTCCTGGGGTTAATTTGGGTAACTTCTCATGAACATTTTATACATCTAAGTGTCTTTTTAGTGACCTTGTATGAAACAAAAATTCCAGAGATAATTTTCTTTTATGAAAATAGGTCAAGATATAGTTTACAATGGATTTTACTCTATAAATTGCAAACAGAAAAATCCAGACCACAGAAGCCTTTGAAATAATCAAGAATGACAGTTCAGAGTTCAAAGTTTTATAAAGGAATACATAGGAATTTTCTAAACCATCTCAAGAGTCAAGAATATAGCAGGCCATGAGTAAAACATCTTTTCAAACATATCCATGAAACTTAAATTTTTCAAAGTCATTCACCCATGATTATGTGGGGCCACAAATGGGGGGTTCAAGTTTGAATCAATGTGTTTGTATATTGCAGTTTCAATTCTTTAATAGGAAAGTTGTCGTCATAATATCTTCTTATCATATTTTACCAATTTCCTTGGATTGGCGTCTCAAATCTTTCAATTCTTCATTCTGAAGATTGGATAAAAAAATCTAGATGTTAATATAGAATATAAACAAGAGAAAACGATATTTGAATACAGCTGGTCTATCCTTGGTTACTTAGAAAAAACAGTGTACGAAATACATGTACAAATTCTGTCATTTTTAATGCCACTTCTTTACAAATGGTCTGGAGCCAGAGTCGCGATGCATATTATCTCATTTTTTGGAAAATATGGATAAAGAAATATTTATCAATTTTGTGCGAAAACATAAAGCCAAGGTCATATTTTATTAACTCCAAGATTGATTGTGTTTATAATTTGTTTATCATAGGTTTGATCGCCTATCCCACTTGTCTGTCAGAGGAGTTGGCCGGTTACAGAGCAGTGGAAATTTCAACCGCAGTAAAGGAGAAGTCAGAAAATATTATAGGTAAGGGCAAACAGTAGAAAATGTGTACCTTGTGCGTTAGAATACCATGTTTAATACCGGGTCATATTTTATTTTCAAGTGTACAGTTTATTGACTGTTTAAAGTCTAATTTATTATCTCCTAAATAATGGGACATTGATTGCAGTTTAGGAATTTTCTTTCGAAAAACCCCATTTAAATTAGGAATTACTCGACAGAAAACAGAAAAGCGGATTATAATTTAAATCACATCTTACCAAAGGCTGGAGATTTTTGTAAAGTGTTCAAAAATAATGCATATGTATTTTAAATTTTCTTCAACATTCTTCATAAAAAAAATCACTTTGTCATTATGCTTCAGATTACAAAATCTAGGAACTCTTTAAAAGCAGATCTTACATATGGATAGGAACAAACCTTTGCACTTGATGTGGTTTATTCATACAATAAACAAGTCCAAATAAGACTAGTTTGTACATTATATATAGCATATTTATTTCGGTAGTTTTACAAAATATTGTATTAGGAGAAGACTAAGTTTCACAACTTGTGTCTTATCCGTTTGACTTTTTGTTAATTGAATGTGTTAAAATCAATTCACATCCAATTAATATATCATTGATATCGTAAATCCTATATTGCCAATGCTTTAAACTTGCGTCAAAACTTATATACAATCAAATTCTGTACAAATTGAAGTCATTTTTAAGGGAAATTGTCTTTTTTTTTTTTTTTTTTTTTTTTTTTTTTTTTTTTTACATTTAATAATAGGTAATTAACTCATAATGGATTTTAGTAGATTACATGTATTAGTGGATCAGTACACAGTAATACTGTATAACCTGGGTTGGAACCATTTACGCTTTGTGGTATATGACTAAGGTATAAACTGGTAGTTTTTAAGGTCATCTCCACCCTTACTCATTTATGGGTTCAAAATTGGAAAACGACATTTCCATTAATATAGTTTAATTTAACTAAAACTCACTATATACTATACACACAACCTTTTCCAGACATAAATAAACAGAAGTCCCTGTCAACATCAGAAAATCAAATATTTTCGCCAAATATAGCAATATAAACAATTCGTTCAAATGACATTGATTTAATTTTAACAATTTGTTTTACAGGAATCATTGGAGCGGAGAGAAGTTCCGATTCCGAATCAATTTCAACAATTCTCGCGAGACTTCCCCGTTCCATTGCTCCACCCATGATCTCATATTCTTCTACATCCGTATCGCTAAGTGATAAGCTGAGGTTTCCCAACTTCTTCAGAACAATTTATTCAGATCAAATACAAGTCGAGGTTAGCGTTACTAATACAATGGAGAGTGTCTATATTCTGTAGTTAGCTTTTCATTTTAGGAAATATAATAAAATAAACAATCACTTGAATGGTCAAACTTTGAAATTGTTCATTCGATTAATTTCTTTGAAGGGCAAATACAAAGAAAACATATTTTTTTCGTTTTCTGCCAGTTTGCAAAGTACAAGTCAAACAAAAGAAGTCAACACAGAATTCTTCACAGTATGATCGTTCGATCTTAAAATGATGGTAAATATGATAAATTCCATTTCAGTGTCTCTTGCATATCATTTTCTTTCACAGGTTATAACCACTCTAATGACGGAATTACAGTGGAACTACATATCTATTGTGCACGAGAATAACGCGTACGGTCGCCATGGTGCTGATGCATTGAGAACGGAACTCCTTAATCATGGAATATGCATCCGCACCGTTAATGGTTTCAATACTACATACGGAGTTCAAATATCAGTTCTTAGTCAAATCATTGAGGATATCACCTTACCAAAAGATGGGGCAGTAAGCGGGATAGTATTCTTTGGAGGACAGACGTCTGCCGAAAAATTTTTGACAGCCATGAAGGATCTTAATCTCGGAGGTGATACACCATCTATCATTTTTTCAGAAGGTGTTGGTACATCTAAGGACGTATTTAAAGCACAGACTATTGCAGCATCAAGAGGAAATCTTGTAGTTAGCCCAAAGTATCAACCAGTGCAGAGTTTCTTGGAACATTGGAAAGCCATTTTTAAAAATAAGACATTGCTGTTACACGAAATAAAAACCAATCCTTGGTTAAAGGATGTTTTCTTTGATATAAAAGGGTGTTCTTACGAAGATGTTTCGTGTATCGTACCAACAGAACAAGAAATGGATGATTTTATGTCAAAGAATATCTATATTAAGTTTGCTGTGGATGCTGTATCTATGTTTGCAAAAGCTTTAAAAATTTCGAAGAATGAAGTTTGTAGGAACGATTCTTGCTCATCAATTCATGTAGATGGAATAGAAAACTTTTCAAAAGCAGTAAGAGACATACAGATAAACTCCACGGCAGAGTTTGAATCAATTTTCCCAATAGAACAAAGACTTCTTTTTGACGAATATGGCAATATTCAACCAGCAAAAAATGCAGAAGTGTTTTCAGTGTATAATCACCGAAAATGTCTGGAGGACGAATCCCAATACTGTTTTGTTAGGGTAAAAATTCTTACCTTTATATCTCTTTTCAATGGGTAAAATTCAAACATATTTTGAAATTTTGAGATCAATGAAATGTACGTGAGAAAATTTATTTTGTAATAAAACACTGAATGTTTTTGTAGGTGGCCAACTTTTCTAATAACAAAATAGCAATAAACCAAGCTCTGTTAAAAGATTATGACCAATCTGGAAATGAAAGAAGTTATCACAAAGCTCAATGTAAACCGGGTGATGTATGTACGATTTGCCTACGCGACGACGAGCAGATTTACTACAAAGCTGGAGACCTCATCATTGTTGCTGCATTTGCAATACATAACGTTGGAGCAAAGCCTCTGCAATGTGGAGGCTTGAGGAGCAACGTCGGTCTTGATGTAGCACTAACAGTTGAGCATGCTGTAGACAAGATTAACGAAAACAAAACCATTTTCGATGGTACTTCAATTGGATTTATTATTTTAGATTCTTGTAATAATCCTCTCGTAATTCAAGAAAGGGTGCTCCGTCTGTTCAGAGCGGATGGTTATCCGAGACTGCCTTCTGATATATCAGACCGGATCCTTGGATTTGTTGGTTCTCTGGGTAGTACACCGACTTTGGCAATGGTTTCGATTACGAAAGAGCTGCAAGGAAAACCACAGGTAAATATTTCCTTTTATCCTTGATGAGCAAATGTCTTATTTTCATCGAAGATATGATTATATGACTATATAACATAAGGCCATTACATGATACACTGTATTAGCGGTGTCCACAGGTTACTGCCTTTATGACCACTGTACGAGGGGTGATCAAACAGTTCGCAAACTAATCGAATAACTTCCATAAAAGAAAAAAAAATCAGATTTCGGTGTTTATTATTTTTTAAAGTAGTCCCCTCCAATTTTAATGCACATCTGCCACCGTTCTGCCTATGCTTGAATCACGTGATCCAGGCGGTCACTTGACATGCTCCGTAGCGTTCTGTTCACAGAAGCTAAAAGATTTTTTCGAGTCTTATATTTCTTACCACACAAGTTCTTTTTAAAAACAAGAATAGTCCATTTCTCACAAACGGCCAAATCTCGGCAATAGGATGGATGAATAAGGATACCTTTTCCAGAATAAACATGGTTACCATCACAACCCGACTTCTCTGTCTTGGGTGCGTCGTTTTTCCATTGTTGATAAAGTATGGGCGCCTTCTTTTTATCATATCTGGTATGTTTAAAATCTTAAGTAAACGGTATTTTAGGGATTTAATAGTTATAATATTATAATTATAAAATTATAATTAAAATACTCTTAAGATATTCAACTACATTTCTAACTGTAACTTGGTGATCTTTTATAAGAAATTTCTCAACTAAGGACACATCTCTTCCCCAGCTTACTTTCAATAGGCTCCAGAACAATCATCATTTTTAACCATCTCCCTTCCCTTCTCTAAAACAATCAATCCAATTAATGATTGAACTTCTTGCAAGCCTTTTGACTTTATAAACCTTGTACAAATTATCATATTCTACTGCAAAAGAATTTCCACGATATACGTTAATTTACAGCCATTAATTGCTCGAGTACGACTGAGTCAGCCATTTTTTGTCACAAGTCATCTACATTTGACGTCATTTTCACATTGTGACGTCACAGACAAGGAGGAAAACATGACGTTACATCTGCTATTTATAGAACATGTTTATGTATGCCAAATTTCATTCTGATCTGAATAGTGGTTTTGTAAATATAGAGATAGTTCGCGAACCTTTTGATCATCCCTCGCATGATGATGGAGGAGAACGTCGAAAAATAGCTGGACGCGGGGGGGGGGGGGGGGTTGTACATGTATGTGTGTGAATGCGTGGTTGTTTTCATTCTAAAAATAAAATGTTTCCTTTTCCTTGCTTTTTTTTTAAGGTCGGGTGCTGTTCCACAAGTACAGAATTTAACAATAAAGACTTGTATCCAAATTTTGTACGTGTTTCAACCTCACTGGAGCACACAGCAGACGCAATGGTTCAATTAGCGAAACAACTTAATGCTTTATACATTCAAGTTATATATAGCTCTGGATTCTACGGAGAAGATGGAAAAGATGCCATTATATCCAGTGCAAAGAAATATGGCATCTGTGTGGCAAATACTATAGAAGTACCCGAGAAATCTAATTATTTCACTGTTCTGGACGAACTTCGAGTCAAACCTTCAGCCAAGGTGGTTTTGACTTTTCTTCGCTCTCATGTTGGACCTTTCGTAATGAAAGCAATCACAGACAATATGCAGTCAGGTGGCGAGTTTCACTTCATAGGTTCAGAGACTGTTGGTACTCGCAAGCAGTACCTTATTCCTCGATTAAAAGGGACATTATCTGTAGCACAAGAAATGCCCCAAAGTCCTTCATACCTTCAATTTTTACAAACAAAGTCTCCAAAACCAACCGATGATAATTCTTGGCTTCTTAATGCAATTCAAAGTCGTCAAGGATGCTTTTATCCTTGGAGTTTTAACAAATCAAAAACTTTGTCCAGAGAATGTGGACCAAACGACCATTTAACTAAGAACGACAGCGCCCTTTTGGACCCATGGACACCATATCTTTATAATGCTGTCCTTGCTCTTCTGAAAGGTTCGGCAAATGCTTTGCGCGAGATTTGCGTGACAACATCAAAAATATGCACAGACTATTCAGATACGAAGAGGGTTTTACAACATATAAAAAATGTCCACCTTGATCTCAATCAAAAAGGATTACCTGTACCCGTTTTTGATGAAAACGGAAATGGTAAATATGGACATCGGATATATCATATTGTTTCTGATGAGGGGGAGCTGTCCTATAAATTAGTAAGTAATTGAAAAGAAAAGTATGGTGTATGTCAGGATACAAATACATATACGCTGTATATACTCGGTACATTTTATATATGATCAAAACAGGATTCAGGATTGTAGACATCAAGAAACAACGTATGTGGTGAGACAATGGCAAGTCATTATTGAAGGAAATTAAGACTTGCCATTGTCTCAACACAAACAAATGCACAAAATCTGTTAACATGGCTTGGATACAATTAGGGGTTTGAAAAACATTTCCATTGTCTGATATTCAAAGGATAAATTGATACGTGTAATCATGTGTTGAAGTGATAAAAATTGTATGATGAATAATATCGTAAATTACTGGTGTTGAATCAAATGCAATATATTAAAAGATTTTTTTCAATCAAGATTTGTTTTTCTTGTTTCGTGAAATCTATTTGGCGTTAAACTTCACAGATTGCCTAGGATGTAGATATTTATTAATAATTATTTACTAATATTCATTTTTCCTTATAAGGTCGGACGTCGAACCCAATCAAGTGATCTAGTATTTAATCAGGAGGACGAGATATTTCCAGAATATTCTGGAGGGACGGATTGTCCGAATCCTACAGACTGTAAAATCTGCCGAGAATTTCTGAACAAGGAAGGACAAACAAACGATGATTCTTCAGACCTGTAAGTTTGGCGAACACAATTGTTTTAACATGCAGTAAAAACACATGCCAGCATTTGCAGAATTTTGATGAGGTCACTTTTGATCTCAGCCTAACTGTTACTAAAGAAATGTATGAGGGAAAAGAGAGGTCATCTAAGTTTTAAGGCCCCAGAGCCAGATTTGTGACACTATCTTTATGTTAAAACACAAGTTTGACAACTGCTCTGATTAGATATTGATTCAATACTAATAAATTAAAAATATATCTATATTTTTAGGTCACCTGAGTCACTCAGGTGACCACATGTATTGTTATCTGTTTTCGACAACCGGCGTGCGTCGTCCGTCAACATTTGAACATTTTCAGCTTCTCTGTAACTACTGAACCAATTTCTACCATTTTTGGCTTTTAGCATCTATGAGTAATATAGTATCTATACTATACCGGGGGGGGGGGGGGGGGGGGCCTAAAGGATGAGGCTAAAACCATCAAAATCAGTGATGTCTTTAAAAACCTTCTTCTTTACTCCTGGACATTAAGCAGTCAAACTGTTGGCTTGTTTGTAATAAGCGTTAAGCTCCAATCAAAATTATAAAATTCATTGCCCCGGGGTCAAGGGTTCTGGAGTTAGGGTGGGTTCTAATGATCATATAGTGAAAGTGCATAAATTCTTCTTCTCTCCCCCTGTATATTAAGCAGATAAACTAGGTACATATGTATTTTGATCACGGGCGCCTCTTCCAAAATATTGAAATTTGTGCCCCAGGGTTAGGAGTCCTGTGGGAGGGGGGCTTTATTGATTATATAGTGAAAGTGCATTATTTCTTTGAAAATCTTCTTCTCTGCTCTTGGGTATTATGTAAACAAACAAGGTGCATGGTTATGATAAGCAAGGATGCCTCTTCCTAAATTGTGAAATTCATGGCCCAAAGGTTCTGATGAAAGGGGGGAGGGGGGGGGGGAGGGAAGGGCGGGCTGGCTCTATTTATTGTATAGTGAAAAATGCTTAATTTCTTTAAAAATATTCTTTTCTTCTCCTGGTTATAAAGCAAAGAAACTAAGTTATGATGAGCAAGGATGTTTCTTCCAGTTTCATGATCCGTAGGTCAGATGTTCCGGTGTGGTGGGGCTCCATTGATAATATTGTAAAAATCCATTAAATATATAATATTAAATAATCTTGTCTGCTCCTGGGTATTGAGCTAGCAGAGAAACAAAGTACATAGTTATGATGAGCATGAGCGCTTCTTTCAAAATTTTTAAAACTTGTGGTCCCAGGGTCAGAGGTTCCGGTGTTTCTCGGGGGTGGGGTGGGAGGGGTTTTATTGATAATATAGTAAAATATGTTAATTCTTTCATTCTTTGAAAATCTTCAAATAGGTACATAGTTATGATGAGCGAGAGTACCTCTTCTAATTTGTGAATTGCATGACCCAGGGTGAGGATTCTGGTGTTAGGGTAGGGTTGTATTGAATCTATAGAGAAAATGCATTATTTCTTTGAAAATCTTTTCTGCTCCTGGGCATCTCGGATTCAGAGTGAAGGTTTTCATAAGCAAGGGTATTTTTACCAGATTTTTGATATTCTGGACCATTTTGTCAAGTGTTCTGGCGCTGTCCAGGGCTCTAATTTGTATTCTACTGAGAGACGTTATTCCCCTATGCCATTCACCTTTGATAATTAATCACTGTAAATAATGTATTTGAAAGGTTAATAAAATAATAAAATTATTCAAGAACTTTTATTGTATAATACAAAACGTACTTTCATAGTTTTAATGATCGGGTAGACTTGTAAATAATAAATGAATAAAAAAAATGAGACAAAAATTATTCATCCTATTAAATGCTGTGCAAAGACCAAGAGAAGACACTGTGGGAGGTAAAAATATGGGGTTAACTATAGTATAGAAGCAATATTTTTTATAAATAAATATGCTTGATAACTAGGGATAAATGGGGGCAAGTATTTCGTTGATTCTGATCATCCTATTTCTCTTGCTTTTGGGAAACAAAGCTTCATCAATCAGTTTATTTCATACTCTATGGATCCTCTAAATTGTTGTATTTTACTCAGGTGACCATTAGGGCCCTTGGGCCTCTTGTTTAACTTAAGTAGCCATGCCATAAGCACCTATTAAAATATGTTTTCTCTTTGTTTTAGGTCCTTAACGCAGATTTTGCTAATTGTAGGAATAAGTATTACCAGCTTTTTGGCCATTCTCTTTATAGTTCTATTTTTGCGTCTATGGTGGGAAAAAAGGCGAGGTAACTCTAGAAACTCGACTTTTAGTTTTTTGAACTTTTTCGAAACAGAGTCATATTTAAAGCACGTAAAACAAAAGAACCTCATCCTTAAAGGTGCTTTATTTAGCCACTCAGTTAAATGTCATTACGATATTAAGCAAAAGTCACTGACAACTCAACTGACTAATTATTTAATTTTTTTCTAATTGATCATACAGATAGCTGTGAGCAGCCTTCGGATCCTTACTATCTGACTGTCCAGTATGCGGGGGAACGAGATGTGGAGACGATTAATCCTGAAGCAAACAATCAAGGTCATAATTCTGTCAACGGCTTTACATTCCATGAATGAATGGCTTAAATAAAAAGCCTCTATAAACAATGCACACTGTATATGGTATTTTTATGCAGTTAGAGTGATCTGCCATTAAATCTAAAATGAGATAAATTTAAATATAGCTTATATTACTCAAACTGTGATCATTTCAAGCATTTTTGATATTTTGTTAAGTCAAGAGTTATTATTCTATGGTATTTTTATGAAGTTAGAGTGATCTGTCCTTAGTTTTAAAATAATCTACCATTTATCACTCAATTTGTGATCAATTTAAGGAAGTTCGATGAGCTTTTGAGCAGATTTTGGTCTGGACCTTTATTTATAAAATTCTGCATAGTTTTTAAGTTCAAACATTAAATCTGGATTCTACAATGCAAATTAAACTATATCCAATGAAAACAACCGCGATTAAATTCCATTAAAATAGGATTAAGCCAGGAACTATCTCTTGTGGAGGAAGGCTTTTTTTTAGGAGAAAATGATCATTTTCCTCCCTTTTGAAATATACACAGCACTGTTAAGTTTAGATTCCTATTTTTCCATGCTGGTTGCACACAGAGCTGTTTTTTGCAGTGAAATGTTTTGTGTTGGTTCTGAAATATCTATTAAATTATTTGTTATGAATTTTTTCATTATATTGTGACAAATATAGTAAATATATTCTGAAAGTCCAGGAAAAAATTTAGCCAATTTTAACATAAAATTAACACTTTTTTAGTAATATCTAAAAATTTACATCATAGACCCCCACTTTTGTTTTTCTTTTCTGAGCATATAAGATAACTTTGATCAATCTGCCTAAATTCAATAAAAGTTAAAGACTTTAAAATAATTTTCTTGCTTGTTAAATTTTTAATGCCAGAAAAATCACATTTTTTGAGTGCAGAAAGGTCAAATAATTGATTATGCGAAGCAATGTGAAACTTTTCTTAGACACAATTTTAAAGTGTCTTTTTTTAAAGTAGACTAATGTTTTTTTGTCCCATGATTTAATTGGATAAAAACATTGGAGGGAAAACGTCAAAGATGTGATTTTTGATTAAGACACAAATTTCAGTGCAAAAAGGTCATATTAAATGTACTGTAGCGCCAAAAGAAGCATATTGACCCCCATTTTTGGTTTTGATTTTTAATTAAGCTATGTGTGTAGAAACTAAAAATATACTTGACAAAAAAGTTTAAGACTTGAAATATCAGGATCCAACCTCGTTAAGCATTCTTGTTATTATACCCCCCGCTTGAAAAGCGAGGGATGTATAGTGATGGGAGTATCCGTCCGTCCCTTACGCTTTGGGGTACACACCTCTTATCCGCAATTCCTCTTATACCACCGAATAAAATTTAATGAGACTTTCAAAGGATCTTTGTTACATAGTGCCATTGTGCGCCTCCTATTTCAATTTTTGATCGGACACACATTTCGGGTATTCAATAGCAAAACATAGACACTGCCATTTTTTCTATAATATTGAGGGGTGCCAGTCTCTTATCCGCAACTCAGCTACACCATTGAATAAAATTTAATGACACTTTCACAGGGTCTTTGTTACATAATGCCATTGTGCACCTTTTATTTTTCTTTTGATCGGACACTTATTTCACTTATTATTATGTTAAATGAATTACCAGTAATTGAATACTTTTATTTGAATGTACTTTTCCTATTTAAGTAAATGACTGTAACAGAAGAGTAGAAAATGGGTACCCTGAATCAATAGTTGGGTGCTGTACCATCCGTCCACGATCGAACCTGACTGACGGCCACATTCCTCAAGCCTAACCCCCCCCCCCCAACACACACACAAAGAAGATACCAACCAAGGCTCTCCCAGTCTGAGTTAGCTGGTCACCGGCGATCAACCCTGCCTCACCGCCACACATCATCAGCACTACATTGTCTTTGAACATTTTTCCTGGGGTAAATGGTTGGTACCCTACATTGAAAATGAAATAGATATACTCAATATTTCTTGTCGCCCACGTGGCGCAGTGGTTAGAGCGTCTGTTCTAGAGTCGTGAAGTAAGGAGTTGATCCTTACGTCGCGGGTTCGAATCCCACTGTGGGACGTGGAGACGGTATAAACCGAGGTCCCGTGTCACAATAGGTGCTGGCACGAAAAAGATCCCTCAATGCTCAATTTCCCTAAGTGCCGAGTATAGGTCAGAATTTGCAGCTCTCCACCGGCAAATGGTGGGTTCTCCATATAAGTAAAAAATTCTCGAGAGGGACGTTAAACAACAAACAAACAAACAAAAACTTTATACGATTTAATTTTCTCAGAGTATAGAAGGATCTTAATACTTAAGTTTAAGTCGTTTATAAATGAAAAGTTTGAATTCATTCATATTGATGATGTTTCACTGTGTACATGTGTGAATACATTCAGCGTAAATATAGCATTACTAATTGAATGCATATGTTTGTAAATATTTTTATTATTGTTGTTGTTTTTTTTATTATTAACAAGGAAAATCTCTAAAAGCAGGCTAAATAGGTATTGACAGCAAATTATCTAAATCTTGTAGCTCAAGCACCAGGAAATTCATATTGAGAACTGTTTGTACATGTATATTGATTGATTGATTGATTGTATGTTGTTTTACGTCCCATTCGAGAATTTTTCACTCATATAGAGACGTCACCATATACCGGTGAAGGGCTTCAAATTTTGACCTTTACTCGGCACTCAGGTCCATTGTGCAGTGAGGGATCTTTATCGTGCCAACGCCTGCCATGACACGGAGCCTCGGTTTTTAAGGTCTCATCCGAAGGACCCGCAACTTTCACTTCAAAGTGCATGGCGAAGGAACAGTTGCTACCCATTTTTTATCGACTTAGGTCAGTCGCGGCCGAGATTCCAACTCACGACCTCCCGATCACGGAGCGAGCGCTCTACCGACTGAGCAACCGTGAACGGTCTACATGTATATTGAAGGAATGAACTACTTGGAGAAAGAATCATTTTTAAAACATCTATTGAAATAGAACAGGAGGGATGAATGTTTCTTGAAGGGAATATTTTACAGAATATACGATAAAGTACATGTATTTGTGTTTTCAAAAATAGTGGGACGCACTTGTGAAACCTATTTTGTTTTATTTTCATCAGGTCACGTGAGTGACGGAGACCTATCTCCATCTGTTTTCGTCTATAGTTTTCCTTCTTCCGTTGATTGTAAACTTTTGAACATTTTCAGCTTCTTCTCTTCAACGGCTTCATTAATTTCGGCAAATAGTATTTATCGGAAATAGAATTGTAGATCAAGATGTAAATTTCGTGATCTAGCAGGCATACTGTTTGAATGTTTATATTCAACATTTCACGAAATTTTAAATTTCATGGTCCCTGGGTCCATCATTCAGGCCCTATGAACCTTTGCATCAGGCAAACCATTTCCATGATTCTAATGCTAGTGTCGTTTATAAATTTTCAATCTAAAGTTGAAAACGATTACATGACAAAAATTTGTCATGTAATCATGCATTTGAAAATCTTATCTAAAAGACATTCAGTGGGTAAACTGGTTGTGTTTTTACAATGAATGCGTAAGGTACGTACCTCTTACATGTATCAAAATTGTAAATTCATATCTAGCATTCGATGTTCAAGTCTCTGAGTTAGGTGAAGTTGGTCACGTATTGAATATACATAACTCCTTTGAAAATTACCCTTCCCCCAGTATCATCTGGCGGAAAAACTTTTTGCATTATAATAAACACTCAGCCTTCGGCTAAAATGGTACAATTAGTGTCCCATGGTTCAGAAGTGGAAACAGGATGGTACTATAATTTGGTCATGTTTTGAAAGTGCATTACATCTTTGAAATTTTTCTTCATTACTCACTGACATTTAACGAGAAAATTGTTTGCAAGATTATAATGAGCAGATACATGTAGTTCTCTACAAATATTAAAACTTCATATCAACCGGATCAAAGGGCAGAATTTAGTTCTATATTGAAATTTATTATAAATGTACCTTATCTTCTTTACTCCTCAACTTCTAGCAGATATGTTGCATGAATATAACAATGACTATAAAGCCCCGTAAAAAAAAATAGAATTCCAGTTCCAGATGAGGCCAAAGTGGTTATAGCCTTTGTAACTTATCCTACTCGGGTGACCATCATGGCCCACAGGTCTCTTGTTTTAGTTAAGTAGCAGAATTTAGTTTCACAACTTAAGACAATGTTTCAAATGCTTGTTTCAGAGATTTATACTCTATAAAAGCCCTGTAGATATACACTGAATATTTTAATAACGTTGTCAAGATAATAATGTGTGTGCATGGACTTTTGAGAATGTACACTGCTCGTTATCTTCACATTTCATGTGTTATTTATAAAATAAATCTATATGTTCATTTTGTTGTTTTTTTTATTTGATTCCGTCATTTTAACTTCAAGTAAAATTGTACATGTACAGGGTGAATTCAAAGATAGTGATCATTAAATTGAATTTTTTAAAAAAAATTCAACTAACCATATTTTTCACTTATATCATCATACTGTACATGCATTCTAATTAAAATTCCTGAAGTGGCAATAGAATAGACAATTGCATTAAAAAAAAGTTTCAGAATTTTTATTAGTAAAACTTTAATTGAAAAAAGGAAATGTTTCTACATCCTAAAAGACGTTCTTAAATATTGACGTTTTGATTGTTATTTACATTATTTTTTTTATTCTGGTTTGAACAGTTTTAATATGAAAGAAATATGAAACAACAACTTCCCCCAAAATTACTTTTTTGTCGATTTAAGTCAATTCTTTAAATCTAAGCCAAAAAAAAGAATTTTGATTTACAAGTTTTCTTACAAAAGATACTAGTTTTTGAAGTGATCCTATTTTGCCTTATTTTGTTGTACTCCTGACATCTGATATGTATTTTATTAAACAATGTTTTAAAGTTTGTAAATCGATTCATCGTTTTGGTATTTTAACCATTTACGGCAATTTTTCCATATTTTCTGGACTTCAACTTACGGACTTCAACTTTGCTTGCGTAATAAACATTGTATATTTTAAAAAAATATATTTGGTGACAAAAACTATTCTGTGAATTGACTGTAAAATGTCCAAACAATATCTGTAATTTGTTGACAGACATAATTTGTACCACAAATAGTATCAAACATTTCCTGCAATTTATTTTTTTTAGTAAGGATAGATGAAGTTCATTGATAATTATAAAACAGTTTTGTTGCACTCCTGACTACAGTAAAATTTAAAATTTAAACCATAGTACACAAAAATTCATAAAGTGTTGGCTACATCAAATGAACTTGTGCAATACATGTATTTATAGTCATCACTTCATGGTTAGAACTCTTAAAAGTATTTAATCTTAGCTTTCTTCTTTTAATTATTCTCTATTTATGTAAAAAATACTAGCTAAAATATATTTCAAAGATAAAAGTATATTTTATAGTATATTTTCCTTCACGGGACACACACTGTAAGCAATTGAGGTCAACCAGAAACATTCTACTCTTGGAGTTTTTCTTTACATTTATTCATACAGCAATAATTCTACCATTTTTGTTGCACTCCAGACTAAGAGCATGCGAGTCTCTAAAGTAGACTTGTGAAGCATAAATTATATCAGTTTCACTGAAGTTGAGGTAGAATTACTTGAATTTTATAACAATTTTTCAGTGTGTGTAAGGGTGTATGTATGTGTGTGTTCATAAAAAAAAAATTCAAAGAAAAAATAAAAACACATCTGGATTGATAAAATTGAGGAAAAAAAGAGACAGATTTTATTAATAAAACTGTCAATAATTTAGTACTAAACTATTCAAATAGTTCACTATTGATTGAAGAATATTCATTAATATGGATAGAAGTTTTTCATCATATACATGTAACTTGGATCTTTAAAAAATGCATTGCATTCCTAACCATAGAAATATAGATCTGAAACGTGGACAATTAATTGTAATTGGTAGATCTATTTGGTAAAAATATTATTTGTGTCTTTATTTTCCACAACAGAAATCAGAGAATCATATAATGATAAAAGTTTTTCCATGCTGGGGAGCAAAACATCAAATGTTGCACTCCAGACATAATTGGGTATGCACAGATACTTGACTCTCATTAATGCTACCTGTGATTTATGTAACATTTTAAAGTTTTAAATGGTATATCAGTTATTGTTTTACACTTCGAAAATTCTTTTTTGAATTATTTGTCATAAAGATTTTAAAAATCAGTGTTTTTGGCAACACTACATTTTTTTCTGTTGCACTCCTGGCATGGAACATTTTTTTCAGCATCAGCCAAGACTACAAGCTGGTCAAAGAAAAGTTGCTACAGACTACATTTAAAGGTCAATACTTTGAATATTTTCTGGAAAGTCTTTATTTCCAACATAAACCATTATTATTTATTTCACAGATCTCCAAATAATATTGAATTTTCAAAATGTCACAAAAAGGTGTTGCACTCCTGAATTTTTTAGCATCATTTTTGGGCATAACTTTTTGTGACTTGAGATATCAATGAGATATTTGACAGGTATTTAGACAATATCAAAAGACATTTGCTGAGTTATAGAAATTTATTCTGATTGCCTGTATTTTTAATGCAGGTTGATAAATATGTGTCTGGTCATTTTTTTTTAATTCATCCTACAGTTACACAATGAATAATGATTTATCATCATTCAATTAATATATGCACGTGCACTTAATTTTACAAACTATATTTGCTGTGAATTTCATATTTTTAATTTATTAAAGTCAAAGTACGTTGGGATTTAAACATTATGCAAGAAACACAACAAGAGGAAAACGCCTAAATGTATCACACTCCAATTTAAACTAACGCCCACAGTGAAAATCGATAAGAAAAGTATTATCCGTCGTTAATGAAAACAACTTTAATGGCGGACGAGTAGAAGATACAAATGGCGGAACAGCAATTTAAACTCAAGTTTGATGGGGCAAATGCGAAAGCAGTAGACGAGTATTTAGAGTACTCAAGGTAGGTTTTATCTTTTTTATCAAAATTACTTTGATTATCTCCATCTTAGACAAGTCAGCCGATTGTGTATGGTGTTCTCTCACAAGAGAGATAACTCCAATACAGTCGTAATTTTTACAAAATTGTAACTGAATACCCATACCGAATATTTTTTTTATACACATCGGGAAAAGAAGGGGGAATATCCTTAACTTCAATTAATTAATCATTTTATCAATATATATCAACATATTTCCTGGAATTATTTTTATTCTATATCTTTAATGTGCATTTGTCATATTTTCTTTTCTACACTTTCAAACTAATGTCTTATTAAATTAATTATTGCATTCCGAAAGCTTTCGTCATATATATATATATCTAAGGCATATTTAAGGCATGAAATTCATTAAACTTAGTTTCAAAACATCAGCATAAACATGTTTTCATGCACTAGATTGACTCCGGCATTTAAACCTATTAATCAAGTTTATATCCGCTTCAATCCTTAGAGCATGGCATTGATTTATTTAAAAAAAAAAAAAAAAGAAGAAAAGTGTTTTACGATACTTGCATAGAGTAATGAAGTTTTCCACAAACGTGTCTATTAAAATTTGGACCACATTCAAAACTGACATCAGATCTATTAGATGGAAATGTTTGGCAAGTAGAGATTACAAGATTCACAGCTACAGAGAAATCTTACAAAATTTTAACATTGATTGTAAAATCTTAAACAGCGCTTAAATTTGTACACTTACTTCAATATAGATTTATGATTTTGTTGAAACAAATATGTGTTTCTTTGGTAACCTACATAATCATGACAGTAGAAAGGCACTATATTAGGCAGTAGGATATTATGGGGTGCATCTGGAGACCCCTTTTCCTTTATTTATTGCCTCATAATACTGTATGCGAAATGAACTTTTAGAATAAAAAAAAGGTAAAGCACTCATATCCCCTTTCAACTCTTATGTACCATAACAACCTATCAAAAACAAGCAATATATATATATATATATATATATATATATATATATATATATATATATATATATATATATATATATATATATATATATATATATATTCTTACTTACTTTGGTCTCATATCAATTTCTCACCCCATACCCCCACCCACCCCTTCAACGAGTGGTACTCTTCTATCCACTCCGAATTTAGTACATGTACATGTATATAGACTTTTTAAGTCAGTTTCTCTTTTTCCGGTTTTTAGGATTGTGGGTGATGACGATGGAGGAGAACTGTTCACACCGCAGCAGTATGAGGAATATAAGAAAAAAGTCCTACCGATGGTACATAAAAAAAATCATTTAGTCATTTTTTTTCCTACTTGGTTATCAAGTTTTTTTGTGTAAAAACTCACTGCAATTTAGCATTTTGTCTGTTGAGTTCACAAATAGTCTTTAGTACAATTTTTTTCGGGCTTCATTACTAATTTCTGGGTGAAAGCTAGCTTCTTGATCTTTTTTTTTAAATTTAAATGTATAGTATCATTCAAATGAAGTGAGAATCAATAAAATATCGTACAATACCCAGAGAACATTGCCTATATCCATGAGCTATATATCTGTCATCAGAGAATGAAGAACCGTCTTTATACCTGTTGGACCGGACCCACAGGAATGGACTGTAAACTGGTTGGACCCGAAACACCCTGCTTCTGCAAACATAGGTGCGATCAAATTTCCGTCGTGAAAATTTTTATCAACTGTACTGCAATACCTCTGTAATGTACATCAACACCAGCTCAACCTTAAAAAAACATTCAAACCATTTTCTGCAGGTACAAGCAACACAAAACTGACTTTGAGGTTATACCTACAGAAAGACCAATTCTTCTCCCGTGTCGCCAGAAGGGGTGCAAGTGTGTCTCTTACAATTACATCCCCATGAACGGGGGTCAACCCATCAGATGCACGTGCAAACACACATCAGAGGAACATTTCGAGTTCGAACCCTTCCTCTGCAAGCGCAGTAAGACATGCACAAACGATTCTTCAAATTTTCAAAATATTCTATCCATATACGATGCCTTTTTCCTTAAAGATTTATTTTTAAAAATTGGAAAGACAACCAACAAGTTTTTTTCTCCTTTAAAAGGTTTGCATATATGTTTCTCGATCTGTTTATATATTTTCGATGACGAACCAACTTGTTTTTCTAGCACAGACGGGAGGTTTGTATCCGTAGTGTGTGATTTTCAAGTTGCCTTTAGTTACGATTTTTTTCAGTTTCACATTTAACACTAAAGGACAAGGAGTTCGATCTTGTGTTTACCATTAACCTAACTGATCTGGATTTCTTTCACTCCCTAATAATTCCACCTTTGTTTTGTTTGCTTTTATCAGCTCACTTGAGAGCACTTTAGCTTGAGTTTTTGCTCATTATCTGTAGTGTTGGTTCCTCTCTCGAAATGGGGAAAGAAATAGATGAAAATGTTGAAGTCAGTTATGATTTTTTATGATCTTTTGACCACAAATATCAAAATACATAATTATGTTTATGTATGAAATCATATGGCTCCAGGGTAAGGAATCGAAGAGATTCGAAAAGAAATAGAAGCGTTTAAAAATTTATGTTTTCAAAATCAGATACATGTATAGTAAAATATATTCAAAATTCTCCTTTTTAGGCTGTTCAAGAACAGCTTTGAATTTTCATATGTATGGGGATCCTCATAACTGTGAATCAGTATCCACATATTTATGATCAGGAACATGGCGTCATTTTTGAAAGGGGTGGCCAAAGAAAAAAATCAACATAGTCAGTACCTGGATAAAAAAAAATTGGCAAGCAAAAAAAAAAAAAATTAAAATTGTACAAATTCTATTTCGGGGGGGGGGGGGGGATGGGGCGTTAGTTCCAACTTCTTTCAGTACCAAATTTCACATTACCCTTATTTGACTATATTTGACTATACAGCAACAAACAGTGGATGGGGGGACTAGCCTTTCAATAAACATTTTCAAAAGTAAAAAGTTGTGTTTTGAAAAAAGGGGACAGCCCCCCCCCCCCCATCTGTTGCCACATGTCTGATGATGTGGATTCAGGTTTTCCTATTAAAAGCTATCAAGAATAGTAAATAAATATCCTTATTTTTACATTGAAAATGTATAGGTACTAGTATTTCAATTAATAATTATTAAAGTATTTCAACAGGCTCAATAACTCAATTGGACATAAAGTCTTAGGGTAAGACACTGGTTGAATTCTCAGTAGATACTTCTTTACTTAATCATGGAATTCAGAAATATATATATTCCGGAAATAATGTACATTATACATATAGCAATCATGTTCATATTTATTTTTCATGCATCAGTCCTTTTGTGGATTTAATATATTTTTTCCCGTTAGATATACCGTAGATGGCACTTTAAAGTTCTAAGTACATGCACATGCATACATGTACATGTAATTATAGCAATGCAAACGCGGTAAATCGGTCAAAATGACAGTAAATTGATGAAAAATGGGCAATAAATTTGTCAGCAACAAATTCTCGGATAAAAAATATTTTGCATTTAGAATTTTGTCAATACATTAATGAATAGACGAACTGATTTCCCTCTGTATTAGTTTTCTCCATTATATTTTGAATTTCTTCAATTTTGATACTCGTTTCCATTTTGATTTTTATCTATTTATTTATTTATTAACATCTCTCCATTTTTATTTATCATTAGGAGGTTGCACGAAATGTGCTGGCTTTAAGAGTTCCTTTACCTGTGGGTGTATGGCTCCCGTAAAGGACCATAAAATGATTGTAGAGACGGCCGAGGAGAGGGAGGCGCGAGGTCACCCCCTGGGCGAGTCAACACCCTATGCTGCCATGGGAGGGATAACAGGGTTTTCCTCATTGGCTGACGGATACCAACGGTTAGATCCCAGTGGGAAGGGTACGGTAGTTGCCGATATGTACAAAATATTGAATAAATTCTTTATTTAATACATGCGTAAACATTAGCTTTATCTCTTTATCGGCAGCGATACAGAAGCCATCTTTTACTATTAATAATAAGTACATGTATTGTACTCTTCGGTGTATAAGTCTAAAATTCGGATGTAGCAATTTTCAGAGGATTCAGCTAGGAAGAGAACATATATCCAATGGAGGGGAAATTTGACTTCAGAAAAAAGCGACCTTTTTGACCATGATATTTTATTAACATTCTTTTTCGTCAAAATTTATTTTCAGTTTTGTTTATTAAAGTGTTTCTAAATTTGCAAGCACTTCAAATACTAGATATACCCCCGCCCCAATTGAATCCGCTCGTGGAATGCAATGTTACAAATCTACTTTGAAGAAATATTTCAATCTTTTTATATTTGCTTTGCAAAGGTGCACCAAACAAAGGTTTCTTGGAGCAGTCGATAACATCTAATGACAACCCATTTTTGCGGTCCAATGTCCAGGCCATTAAAGCTCATCAAATGAAAAAAGAAGGCAAAGGTAAGACTATGGCAAGTCAAATGTGCCATATAAAACGTTAGAAAAACTTTCATTGCGACAAAATAACTGTAAACATGAAACATTTTGTAATACTAGTAGTAGGACGATTCCACTGATGCATGTAGGTTGGTCTTGCGATTATTGCTACAAAGAATGAGATTATATAAGCCTTAGAAAACTCTTGGATTATTTTCCCCGACTATTTCAAGGATAACGTGAGCTGATACGAAATTTTATATAAATGTATTACAAGTGTAAAAAAAAAAATAATAAAATAAAAATCTGTAACCTTTTTCTTTATTCCTTAACATTGCTGGACTTTTCTGACAGGTTTAACAAACCCAGATGACGAAATGTTTGATGACATCACGGAGCGTGTTTCTCAGATGAGACGACCAGGAGAAGACGACATGGCGTACTATGAAAGACGTTACAACGAAAGGGTAAGACACACATGTTACTAGGGACACGAAACAGGAATGCAGACGATTATGAAGTTTATATTAATATTAGAGAGAGAGAAAGAGAGTGAGTGAGTGAGTGAGAAATCAAATTTAGCAATGATTCTTTTTGTACTGTACATTGCATTTCTTTCAGCAACAACTTGTCCCAAGCAACAGCAATACACAAGGGTTGGACCACAATTCCCTCCGTCCCGGAAGTCGAAGAGCCATCGAGGATAAGCCTGGATCTGGACGCAGACCAGCGTCAAGACCGACATCAAAGAAGTGAAAATAGACACATCACAAACAATTAATAAATGTAATATCTGAGTGCACATACTATACTTATGTGTAATTATGATATACTTGTGTTAGTGTTATGTCAAGGAAGAATATACTCTTTTTAACACTGTTCTCTACTTGGAATGGGTTTATTTTGTATGTTGTATCCATGCAATATTATTACAGGTAATAGATAACAACTTTATGCCCAAGTTTGGATTAACATCCTAACCAAAAGATAATTGGCGATATCTTTAATTAATATCTTAAGATATCATCAATTCGATCATTGCTCTCGTCAAATGGATAGATGTGCGCATATTGATGCTCTCATATTGATGAATCAAGGAGAGCAATAATTGATTTGATGCGCGCATCAAATTCAAATGATCAGAGCAATCACGTGGTGGTATTGTTGCTCCAAAAAATATTTCAGACCTCGGATTAAATAATTTGTTGATCTCTTTACTTTAAGTGAAGACCCATGTATACTTAATTAAACATGTATTTTACAATGATTTGTTAGAGAAATTAGCTAGTACATAAATTATTCTAAAGAGAGCAACAATTAAAATTAAAGAGATCATGTGCATATATCAATTCAATTTCAATTCATATGTCGAATAGAAGATATCCCTAATTAGATAGTTGCTCTCTCTCTAAATGAATTACTATGTGTTTTGATTGAGTTAATAATATCATTAATTCGATTGAGGAGAACAGTAATTATTGCACGCATTTACTGAATCGATGCGCATAATCATTCAATTGAAGAGAGCGGTATTCCAGTTTTTGCTCGCATTCATTAAATTAAGTATTGCCCTCTTGAAATTGAATTAAAATGCGCATCAATTTAATTGTTGATATCATTAATTCGTTTTGAAGAGAGCAATAATTCAATTATTGCGCGAATCTCTCCAGGAAATGAATTTATGATTTCAACGATTGAATAAATGCAATAATTCATATTTGAAGATACATGTATCATTTTAAAATTATTTGAGGAGTTCTGTTATTGAATAGGTGCGCAAATCAGATGAATTAGTCCACACATGCACACTTTATAAATGGAACATGTATTAAGTGCATACATGTAAAATGATATACATTTATGAATGGTTTTAAGTACAGAAACTTCCATCCTGAAAACAAAAGCCATGTATATTATTTTCAACATGAAAGAGAGAAGAAACGGGGTGGGAAGATTCTTACTTGCTCAGGACACTAATTAGGAGTGGAATATATTTGATTTCCAGTTAGTGAGGGAGTCAAAGTATTTTAACATTTCGAAAAAAGCATACTTAGTCTATTATGTTGATTTGTTATGTGATATATGATTTGAATCCAATGCCCGTTAATTCTTTTGACTAATCATTTATTATGAGAGATTTTTTTATAAGGACATACGCAACGTAGTTTGAACTTTATTGCCTTTTTCCATGGTTTTGAAAAGTTCCTATACTTGAAGGAACTGTGTGCTATATTTTTATGTCTATATATGGTGTTGTTCACTTCTTCTAAAATAAGTTTGGATTTTTTAAAAAAATCTATAGAATATATGTTTTGTAATTTTAATATATTTTCTTCGAATCAATCAAGAATTTTCAGCAATTGATATATCTTTTTTTTAAACCCATGGTAATGTATGCTGATTTTTTGTCTATGAACATCTGATGGCACTATAATCTTATATTAAGAATATCTTGAAAAATCATCAGTAGGTAAGGTACGTTGCGTATGCCCTTAAAAAGAAATTATCAATGACAATGACGATTCTTTATTCTCATAAACAGTGTAGAAAAAATATTACAGCAAAGAAATATTTACAATAATGCACCTGAGAAAAGAAATATGAAGAAAAAAAACAGTAACAAAATTATAATTATATACCAAATCGGTAAAGAGTGTGAGTGTGTGTTTGGGGGGGGGGGGGGGTAGTTGTATTTTCTAATATAATTTTACATGATAAACATCATATTTTCTTGGCCAATATTTCATCGGATATTGGATATCATAATTCAACATAATGAAATTCAGAGTAACAAGTAAACCTACTGTTTATGACACAAGTTACACAATACAACAATTCATCTTCAAGATACTGAATATAATTTGCCAATAATTTTCAATGAAAATTGCGCTTCATGTAGTAAAAACATATTTAGTTTATAGCAGCAAAGATATATTTGATGTTCTTAACTGATTCTTTTAGCCAGTTTGGGAATATTCTTATAACAAAACTTATCCTGAATATAAATCTTGTATTATCTGGTGACGGATTTAAGGGGGTACGGGTGTATGCCAACTTTATACATTAGGGTCAACTTAAATATAATGTTTGTTTGCCCTCTCCCGACCCAGGATGAATAAATTGGGTCGGCAGGTAGGTGGAAAAAAAATTTCCAGAAAATTTCAACATCAATGCTGAATTTGCAAAATATATTTTAGCCAGTCGGTCGGGAGCGAGCAAACAAACAATTTTTTAAAGATGTCCAAGCCAAGTATATAATAACATAGTATCTTTAATACATTTATATCTACAGAACAGTTAAACATTCATGCAGTTAAATGTCTTTGTATGAAAACAAACTTTTATCTAACTTTTTAAAATAATTAAATATGAATCAGCAATTTCTTTGGATATTTGTTTCATTTATTAAAGTCAAATTGAAGCAAATCATTTCAGGCAAATATTCTGCAATATTTAATGAGTTGTGTTCTAAGATGATACTAAGTTTGTCTATTTCATGTATTTTCTTCTTTAAATTTAATTAAAAAAAGGCTGTGGGGAGCTTATTATGGCTCCTCCTTGCACTGATCTGGATCTGCCCATGCATAACTAAGAGCTTGCCGCAAATTCCTTGTACGATAAAACATACATGCACGGCTGGTATTTCTGTTGGTTCTTCTGTTAACGTATATGAACAAGAAAGATTCTCTCTCTCTCTCTCTCTCTCTCTCTCTCTCTCTCTCTCTCTCATATAAATTTCCTTTATGAAACTATAGTTAATTGGATTTAAAAAATATTTACGATTGTACTCTATTTGTTTACTTATAATTTGGTTATGGTTTAGTGAAAAACATAAACTTGAACAATTAAATAGTTTTAAAGATTAATCGTTTAAATAATTACAGATTATTATAGAGTTTATACCGGCAATACATACATTTATTTATGATGGGCCAACATATATTAAAATGCAATAATTTACCTTAACCATCCCTGGTAAAAAAAAAAATTAAAACATCTCAAATAAGTGGTATTTCTTTGCATTTTACCAACAAAATCCAAATTTCGTTTCCTTATATGTCGTTCTTAAAAATAAGTTCAAAGCAATGTTACGCATGCGCCATATTGTCTTGACAACAACTAAGTTGAGTTGGCGGCATTTGTCAAATTCAAGATGAATAAGAAGCAGTATATCACTCTGATTTTGTTGATTCTCACCATCATTGTCTTTTTCAACCACCAGGAGTATTTCTATTGGTAAGATTTATCTTGTTTAGAGAATCTAGTGCACTGACAATGATTCTTATGGGGGAAATATTTGACACATTTCGAGCAGCTCCCACTTACTTTCCATATGGTGTAAAATATTGTTTATAAAAGCCTTTGATGTAATGAAATATTAATTAGAGACCCTTAAACCTAAGGGTGTCAGTGGCAGATCAAGGAATCTTGAAAAGGGGGGGGGAGGACCAGTTTGGGGTCGGGTAGGGGCCCACGGCCACAAAAAAAAATTGGTTTATTAAATTTTATGTATATTTTGGACACAAAAGGAGGGGGGGGCTCTAAATCCGCCAGTGGGTGTAAAGGTAATCATTCAAAGGAGAGGAACAGTATGGATATTTCAATCTTTGCCACTCGTCTGTCTCTTTTTGTAATTTTTTTTTCAATACTGATAAACTAGGCTACCTTATGTCATTATTTATTCTATCAAATATTTCTGCACAGCAAAGAACCAGAACTATCATACTGGGATGAGGTGAAAATATATCTGAATTTTATGAAGAGACCAGATCCCTGTCCTGGAAATGAGGAAGTGACCAAGGTAAAGTGTCCAAAATCCAAACAATTTTATTGTATTGTTCAAAGCTTCTTCTTTTTTGAGAAAAAAAAAAGAAACTAATGCTCATATTGCATTTTTGTATAAAAGAAATAAAAATTTACTCACCTAGGCTCAGCTTGAGGTTTAAGTGAACATTTTGTTGATCAGTGTTGAATGTTTTGAAGCATATACAGACATCAATGAATTGGTGGTCATGTGAAGGGATACTCTATGAGTAGAGTATGAACACACAGGAAAGAAATAATTGTCTACATGTGTCTGCCTGATAGGCAATGGTTAGGTACATGTAGGGTACTAGCAGGGGTTCAAATTATAATTAGAAATATAAGAGAAATTTTCAAGGCTGTTCAAATCTTTGGTGGGGCTTTATTGAGGAGTAAAATCTAAGAAGGATAATGCAAGGAAAATCTTGCAATTTTTCCTCCAATGAAATTGAAGTCTTTCTCATATAATGCAGAGTTAAGTTTGTTAGGTTCTAGTCCCATGGATCGAGGTAGTAATGTTGATGAAATAAATTTTATAAACAGAAACATGGCTATACACTGCATTTTGACAAATAAGGGCATGTATCTGATCATGTCTGAATAAAGTACTCGTCTTAGTTTTGACACCTGAAAGGGTATCAAAAAAGGGGGAAGCATTCTGACCCTTGGCCCTATCGTTTATACCTTATATGCTTGCATATATTCTAACAATGTTGAGTTAAAAACATATAAAATAATAAGCTATACACTACCTATCATAAATGATAGGTTTGGAATTGTAAATTTACTGAGCTTTATGCAAGAAAGTTTTTTCTGTGTTTCTCAGAATGAATATATAGCATTTGTTCATTAAACCAGCTATTAAGTATTTCTTTAACAGATGGCATTGGAGTTGTCCGGATATGTGGCAGTACTTGTAGCCTTACATCTGCTGTTTAGATACATGTTTCTACGAATTGAAAATAGGCTGAAGGAATGGTTGATGAAGAACTGGATGATTGTTTGGGGAGTGATCTTTATACTAATGTACATTTGGGCTGCTCTCCTCTGCACTGGAAACTCCATACTTAGTATGTAAAATACAGTTAAACTTTTTGTTAAGGTACATACAATTCCTTTTCCTAATTTTGAAATGTGTTTATAAAGACTAGCAGTCAATACTGGTTTTATTACTGAACTTCTTAAATCAAATCTTATGTGTAATTTTAGGATTTCTAAATCCTTGGAACAAAGAATATCAACAAAGACAGGTGTAGTCCTAAACTTCTTTGACCACTCATCCTACAAGTGGTTTTATGATCCTGACCCAACACATGGAGTAAAGAAACAACACCGGCATACAGGAAATGCCTACTTAAAAAGTGTCAAGTTTGTTGGCTTTAGCTCACAATATTTCTTATTCTGCATGGGCTTTTTGGAAATTTAAACAATTTCAATTTCTTTGCATTTGAAGACCTTTGCATACACGGTACTTGAAACATGTTACCCGAAATAATTGAAGCGTAAATCAGGTACACGATCAAGAATTTATCGTTTTTGTTACATTTATAGCCTTTTCTTTTTTACCAATATCCATTTGTGAATTTTATATACATTTTTTTAATCAATATTTTTAAGGAACCAATTTAGGGTTTTATTTGTGGAATTATTTTTTCTGAATCATGAAACAAAAATTTTAAGATTTTTGTTATATTCAGTATAAGTGTATTTTCTTTTATACCAACATCTATTTGTTTTTATTTTATATTTACAATCTTTTTATAGATACATATTTATTAAAGGAAGCAATATACTTTTGCTTTCCCTAATAAATGTTTTATTGGCAGACTTTTTTCTAAACTGTGATAAAATTGTGCTCATTTATTATGTGTACCAGAAGGAGAAACTATCAATGTTTGTTAAAATTTATTTTTCTGTGATTGTATACAATGAATGAAATTTGAAGCAAATGACTATGGGTGTTGTAATTTCTAGAGAGAATATTTTGAGTTTACAATATGACAATCACTCACTTTAGTTACAGATAAGTCTTGGTAGGTATCTTTTGGGAGGAAAAATTTATGTATAAGTACAGCCTTAAGCAAACATACCATAAAGGGGCATGGGTACTTGCTTCTGTTTAAATGTAAATCCTATACCAAGGTATTGTTTTTCATTTTATTTTTTTTTTCAAATAGCAGCAAAGGCTAGTGTAAAAGAGCTGTAAATATAGGATGAATTTTGTTTGAAAGAAGATACGTCATAAATGCCTAGCCCAATCCTTCCCAATCCAACTGAAAAGTAACTTTGACAAAAATATAACTCTTTAGTTAGGGCTCTGACATACCCTTGATCGTTATACCAATATTGATAAAGAATATGTTTCAAAATAGACTTCATAGTCTCGGAAATGGGGGGGGGGGGGGGGGGGCTTCTGTTAACTTTATGTCAGCAGTTGGCAAAATGTAAGATATTGAAAATAGAAGTTTGTCTCAATCCCTGGATAATTTGAGGTAAGTACCCTAAAACAAATAGTAATACTGTGTGCTATTCTCCCGTAAAGTCTCCACAGGGTCTCCTATTCATTTTGAATTAAAAAAAAGATCAGGAGTACAAGAGTGTTAAAACACTGAGGCTACCATAAAAAACTATCAATATCAGGCCCGTAGGAAGCAATTTCAGTTTGGGGGGCACAGCCGTACATTTTCAGTTGAGGGGGCACAATCAACCCAAAAATTCCTTGACAAGCAAAAAAAAAAAAGAAAGTTCATCAGACGTTTTTATTGAGGGGGCACAAGCATATAGTAGCTATGTTTTCTATAGTAATCTATATATCGGCAAAATTATTTGGGGGGTGGGGTGGTGGTGCACGCCCCCCCCCCCCCGGTTTCTACGGCCATGAATATTATAGTTTGAAAATCAATTGAGGTAAATGCAAAGAACTTGAAAGGACACACACACACCTACAAATATAAAATCAGGTACAGCAAAACATTTTTCCTGCACTTACATTGATTTTCTACATAAAGTTCTTCTATAACAGGAGAGGAGAAAATGTATGGCTGAACCGGGAATCGAAAACGGGACCCCTGTATCACTAGACAGGTGCTCTACCTACTATCCATGGTCCAAATCACCAAATCATTACATCCCCGCTCCTTAAATTGTCTTCGCCCTCAAAGACACAACCCAAGTTCTTCTTTGCCCCTGACAGGCCTTTTTCCTGCAATGCCAGGGGTGGACAACGACACCAAATTATGGAGCAGGAAAGGAGAAAATATATGGCTTGATCAGAAATCGAACCCAGGACCTCAGCATCACTAGTCATGATCAGGTGCACTACCTACTGGGCGTACATAGGCCGATACCTATGGTCCATAGCATTACATCCCTCTCTTCTTAAATTGTTTTCGCCCTCGAAGACAAAACCCAAGTTTTTTTTAAATTAAAACATGCGTAACAAAATTTGGTGGAGAGTCGGTAAATATAATTTTACAATGCAATATAATTTTTGGAAAGTTTTAGAAATATGATGAAGTTTTGTTTCTGTAATGATTCTCTCGCAACATTTTCAATACTCTATTTCTAAATTTTACAAATTTTCTTAATTAGATATATATTGAAAGAAATTTAAAAAAAAAAACAAAAAAAAACAGCAATTTAACTCTTGCATGTGAGAGGTAAAAAAAAATGTTTGCGATACATCTCTTTAAGGCAGCACCTTTGATGCCCTGTATAATTTGCATTTATGTCATTTGGTCTAGAGCTGTAAAAATGTGGCATTTCCTTTCTTTAGTTTTTTTTTTAAAATAAAAAATGTATATTTATTTGATTATTCCTAACAATGTATGGTCAAACTTAAAATAAACTCGTAAATGTAAACATCCATTATGCTAATATGCCACCCCCCCCCCCCCCCCCTTCTTCAAAAATAAGCTTGTCACGAGTGAAGATTCGTCCTAAAACCCAAATATTTTCCAAAATCAAATTTTTCATTCACACCAGGTGCCGTTGACTTTAGACCCTCCATGGTTGCTACCTACGTAAGAAATCATATGTGCTTCAGGATTCTGCGAAATTCTTTCAAAGCACTAATCCTCTTACAGTTTTGGTCCAATTCAGTAAGACTTGGTCATTAATATACTAAGAAACACCATTCTTTTTATTTGTTTTTGATTTCAACAAATGTGTAAATGCCATGATTACTAAATATAGAAATTTCTTCGAAAATTGTAAGAGGATTAGTGCTTCTTCTGTGAAGAATTTCACAGAAATTTCTATTTTCTAGAAACCATGGCAACATTGTTTGTCAAAATCAAAAACGGATAAAAAGAATTATGTATCCAGTACAGTGAACTTGTATACCAAATCTTGCTTAAAATGGATAAAAACTGTAGGGGGAGTAGCATTTTGAAAGAAATTCAAAGAAATTTCAATTTTCGGTAACATCGTTTGTTGAAATCTAAAACCAGCATATAGAAATGTTTCTTGGTATAGGGTACTTGTGTACCAAGTCTTACTGAAATTGGACAAACTGTAGGAGGAATTATAGCATTTTGAAAGAATTTCAAGATTTTTAGCTTTAGTCACCATAGCAACATCATTTGTCGACTTCAGAATTGTGTATCTTAGTATATAGTACTTGTGTACGAAGTAACGTTAAAATTGGGCCATTACTGTAGGAGTAGTAGCGTTTTGAGAAATTGCATGTTTACAGACAAACGGATGATGGACACCTTACTATTTCATAAATTCTCTGACCAGTTGAGCTAAAAACTAAGACCAAATTCATCATAAAAGTTAAAAGTTCATTTAATCTCATGACTCCTTCAATTTGGTGTACAACTCCTTCCCAATATAATTCATACATCTGTGACCTTGAAGATCATGACTCAAGTTTTACACAGTAGACCTTCCAGTCAGCGGGTTATGCAGTAGCAAAGAGAAGCCCATATACGATTTGCAACAGTGTTCTCACAACTCCTATACTAATGACTTTTGACCTTTAAAATATCATCTTTCAATGGTCAGTCTTTTAGGTCATGAGCACCCCATGCTAGTTCAAATTCATTCAAACAAGCAAATTCAAAGAATTGTGCCCCCCCCCTTTCGTGTCTTAGTGGTTGGGATGCAATTACATGTATTTATGACATATTGTAACTGTCTTGTTTATTTGTCCTTCAAACTTCTTGATCAAGGTCATGAAGTCAAAAATGATTATCCTTTCTAAAAGGTGTTGTCGTAGGCAATTTACATTTGTAATATGAAAGCCCTACCTTCTCTCATTCAAAAGATGTTACCAATGTAAAAAAATGGAAAAAGGTTGTAGGTTAAACTTAGAGGTTGAGATCAAGAGGGTCATTGCACATTCAGAAAGGTTTTGAAACAGGTAATGTCAAATATAAATGTCCTGTCTTCTGCCTTTCAAAAGTTATCAGCAATGTTAAAATTATTGAAAATTGGGTCAAACTTCAAGGTCAAGGTCAGGGGTTAAAAGTCATAGTGCAATTGGAAAGGTCTTCTTACAGATAATGTGACACTTGAAGGTCAAGGTCACAGGGTCTAATATCAAAGCTCATTCAGAAACCTTGTCACAGGTGATGCACTTGAATGCCCTTTCTTCTAACATTCAAAAGTTATCACCAATGTTAAAATTATTGAAAATCAGATAAAACTTCAAGGTGAAGGTCACAGGGTCATAAATCATAGCATGTTCGGAAAAGTTGCCACAGGTAATGCACATGTCAAATATGAATGCCCCATCTTCTCTCATTCAAAAGTTATAACCAATGTTAAAATTTTAGGATATTAGGTCAAACCCCAAGGTCAAGGTAAGGGGTCAAAAATCATGATACATTTTGAAAGGTCTTGTCATATGTAATGTACATGTAAAATGTGAAAGCCTTATATCATTTCAATCAAATTCAAAAGTTATGACCAAGGTAAAAGTAATGTTAAAATTTTTGTAAACTAGGTCAAATGTCAAGGTCAAGAGGTAAATTTTTTTTTAGTATACTTGGAAAGGTCTTATCACAGGTAATGTACACATGAAATATGAAAGTCCTATCTTTCCTCATTCAAAAGTTATGACCAACGTTAACGTTAAAGTTTTTGTGGCAGACAACTGAGACAGACATACAGATGGACTGACTGAGAGATGAATGAGATTCAATGTCCTCTCACTTTTGGGAAAGCAGGGGGCAATAAAGGATTTCAGACACAATTTGTGATAGGCTGAAAACCATGGCAAAATTGTCTACTTCCATGTTTATTGTATTAAAATAAAAAGGACATGGATGTATTTTGAATGTGCCTTTAATGAATATTTACTTCTGAAAAATGTTGTAACACATACATAACAGATGCCCAAAATTGACACATTCTTAAATTATAACTAGTAAGAAGTCCAATAGAGTGTGGTAGTTTTACATCTTTAGCTTTGTACGCCTCCAGTGTCTCCTCTTGGCATTGTACCTGAAATGAGATTTAAACAGAGTATATATTAAAACTGAGTTTTTTAATCAACTCTTATTTTTTCAAACTATATGATTGTTGTACTAAGCTATTAATTCTAGAAAAATGTTAATATTCCAAATACACATATCAAACACGAATTCACAAACTGATTGCCTGTGCCCAATTTTTATAAAAAATATAAGTAAACATAGTATGAAGATCCTAGTATTTTTCATATTGCTATTTACTTAAATATAATATACTCAAAAAAATGT